CCCCACTCCCAAATTAGAAAAAGAACCAAGAACAAAAACTAACACTAGAAGGTAATTCTAACTACACTGAATAAAAATAGTAATAAACAGACCCAAAAAAAACATGTATTGAATAACTTACGATACAATAAAACAAAAAGAATCTTGATGATCGCCTATGTTAAAAAGGGCAAGAGAGAGAGAGAGAGAGAGAGAGAGCGAGAGAGCGAGAGAGAGAGAGAGAAAGAGAGAGAGAGAGAGAAGGAGAGAGAGAGAGAAGGAGAGAGAGAGAGAAGGAGAGAGAGAAAAACAATAAAACAAAATATTATAACATGAATTAAAACAAAATTTTGATTATTAAAGAAAATAATACTGTTCCTACAACGACCAGCACTCGTAAGCACACAGCACTTACAGGCAGCATGGCATTGAACAAATGTGTGATAAATCTTGCACCGGATGTCACAGCAGCTTCTCCTTGAGCAAGATTTGCCATTGAATGACCTGTGAGATGAAAATATCATGATATAGTGAAATACAATCTGAACTAATTCACCACTTTAAGCCCCTTTTAGACCCATGACTTATTAATGTAAATAATTATTATGACCTCTTCAACAGTTTAAAAAATGTCTGCAAGTAGGACATTATCTCAATAAAGACCAACTTTGAAATCTGGGCACAGAATACAAAAATTGAAGCCAATGGACATGTAAGTCAGGACAAGTCCTAAGGTGTAAGAGAAAGATAAAGCAGTAAAGCTTTCGAGGAAACACAAAATAAAGGGAAGAACATAATGTAACCTCCACTTGAACTAACTGCATCCCATATTTACTGGTCTAATTAACTTCAAGTACCGATACCAAGATACAGAATGAGAACAGATTACAGAACGAACAGTCATATCTGTTGTAATGGAACAGAACCGACAACTACTAAATATGACCTGCAAATTGATCAGTACCGACATTAGAATTGAATACAATATTGAAGCTGAAAGAGACAAATTCAGTCTAGAAATACAAAAAAAAACGAAACGTCTTTTTATTGAGAAGCCTCAATAATGATACAGAGCGATGCATATACGAGGGGCATACCAAAAGTTTTTTACCTGACCATGAAGGAATAAAGGTAGAAAGCTGAAATTTGTTGTGAAAGCCAACAATCATCTTCCTAAAAGTAAAAGGCTTGTAAATTTTGGGGAATTTCAGATTACTGGTCTTACCACCAGCGCACTGTTAGTGAATGGGGATATGTTGTTCTCCAGTTTCAACGTAAAAATGGAGAAAATTGAGCGCAGTCAAAGAGTCTACATAACAAGAGGGGCCACTCCTCTCTTTGAACCAATTAAAAAGGTGTCCTCAAAATTCGGTGGCACCCTCTTCGCAAATGCGCACCCTTTGCGAACAGAGTTACCCTACTTGAGTTTTTAAAATCAAAGTGAAACTAGCAAGCTTTTGGATAAATTTCCGAAGTATGCTTTTTTAGAATGGTTATGCTGACAAAAAACCTCTTCCAGAGGAAGGGGAGATTGATTTCCTCGTTTAATTTGACTTAAGAATGAAAGGCGAGAGGTCATTAAAATTTTAAAAAACTAAAACTCTGCACTGAACGAACCCGAACTGCTGATGAACAGCAGTCGATATACGCACGCAAGGACGTGCTATTCCTATTCTTCTTCTGGAAAACGAAAGAGAGCTTCAAAACAGACTGCAGCGCCATCTGAAGCAAAGAGAGGACTTCCGGCGGACATTTTTTCGGCTGAGTGACCCATCTTGTCATGTACTATCTTTGGCACAGTGCAGTAATGAAGTATTTTTCTACCAAGGCAAGCAACTACAAGATATTTTTACGGAGATGCATGCCGTATATGGAACTGACTGCCAATCCTATGCTGTCATAAAATTTAGGTGTAAAAAAAGTGATGATGAGGTCAAAGAAGCGGTAGAGGACTGGTTTTCTGACATAGAGAGGGTCCTCTATTCTCAAGGTCTTTTCAAGGTCATACACAGATGGCAAACATGTATAACTCTGGGAGGCGACTACATAAAGAAAGACTAAGTTTAGTACCAAATTTCAGCTTACTACCGTTCTACTTCATGGTCAGGTAAAAAAAACTTTTGGTATGTCCCTCGTATGTGACGCACCATGGTAAAATCAGGCGCTCACCAAAATAGTGAAGTAGAAACCCCCCTCCCCAGTATTTTTCTCCTGGTTTGGCAATTTTTTTTCGAATTTTGTTTTTTTAGCTCAACACCTTTTACGTCCATTTAAAACCACATTCCCGAAGGACACTATAAAAATCAACATTTGGCCGGTAAATAACATTTTTTTAAAAGAAGGAAAAGCACTTTACAAACACAAAAATGAACTTTTTACAACCAATTCCAAGACAATTTTCACGCTTTTGATCAACTGGGTAACATCACGTACAATATTGAGCTGAAAAGAGAAACTATAAGATTGTATTTTACTTACCAACAGATACAACAATCCCTCTTTTACAAAACTCCTCAATGACTTCTTTAGCATTAGATTTCTCTGGTGCCAAGGTAACCAGGGACACATTGCTGAGATCACCATATGTTTCCAAAACATCTTTGAAGCCTCCGTCAAAATCCTTGATCAGCTGCTCCGGATGAGCTCCCTTCTTTTCCTTGCTGATAAAAGGTCCTTCCACATGAATTCCTGTGAGCAAACATTATGTCTTTAAGACCGCAAGACAGCTGTGTCCATTTAAGTAAACAAGCATGCTTTTGTAACTTTTTTAAGGCCTAATGGTTCAGGGACCCTCAGGGGTGACATGCAACTATGGCCAAGCAGCAGTTCTGATTGATTATCTTTGGAGCCATTAGTGAAATAAAAAATTTCAAAACACAAATGCCGGTATATTTTACACCTGGAACTTTTTTCTTATGAATATAAATAAATACATAAACTTACCAAGAATACCAGCACCCTTCTTGCTTCCATCTCTCTTTTTTATCAGTGGCAATACCTGCAAAGATATCAGACTCAAGTTGGCACGCTTTATTTTTAATTCAAAAGCATTGCATCTCACAGATTTAGCATTACTCCCTTTGACAGTATTGTAAACCAAAAGTATGATTGGCGGGAACAAGTACACTTCATTTTGCTTGGCCCTCCTAGTGTTGCCATGAGTTTCGTTCTGTGATGTCTTGGCTGATTTAATCAGTTGTAATTTGAGAGCTAGTTCAGTTTGTTTATCCTTTTTCATACATTGCCAAATATTTCAACTCCTTCACAAATGAGGTCTGTCTTATTTACATTCTACTTCCTGAAAACATAGAGGTTTATACCTTTGTAGCATTTTTCAATGTAACATGGTGAAATCATACAAATTCCCCTGACACCATAGAATATTTGTTACCAACACTGGAGGGTCAAAGCAAATTTTGCAAACTTTCAGGCCTACAGCGTAATGCTATAAAAATTGGCGGAAGTAGGCATCCATCTCACAGCAGAAGGTCATATAAAAAATAAAAAATGGTGAAACGAATACAGATCAGAACAGGTTTTGTTTTCTCTTGTATGTTAAAAGCAACCTGTTCCATTCCACCCCTACCCCCTCGCTGAAGCTGGCTGAGCAACAGGTGCAACTGTTGAGGAGAAACACACATTTGAATATCTAGCTGAATATGTGAAACATTTAATTTGCCATAGCATTTCTTGCCTCCTTCTTTTTAATTTGTATAACGCATTACTACTGGACCATGAGGTCTGCCTTAAAAATAATCAGTTTAATGAGGCAGAAAGTTCATTTCCAGCAAAGCTAAATCAACTCACAGCTTAATGAGCCATGACCGTATGTCATTGGAAAGTAGTGCGAAACTGAAAAATAATGATATACCACACAGAAACCATACCAGATACCATATTTTAGAAACAACTGTCTACATTCTACAGAGTAACACAATGTGCCAATGATAGACCTACATTCTTAATATATATCATGTCTATCTTTTACCATCAAAAGAAATTATTTTGGTTTGGAAGACACACAAAAATCACCAGTCTCTCACAAAAAAAGAAGAAAAAAACAACCTTTACCAATAAAAACTCTGCTGCAAAAGATGAACTTCATGACAAGGAACATTACCAAACCAAAACATTGAAACGTATCAGCTGAAGAGAGTTCAAGAAGAAAGACCATTCAGAAAAACCTATCCATACATCAACTTCCTCCATTGCGGAGGAGAAGAAAAATGCTAACCAGTAAAATACTATATGTGATTAAGTGCAGTGAACACACCCTTCACAACAAACACGTGTGATAACGTCATGCAGAATATGAAAACAAAGATACAGCCATCAGTAACACACTGTCCTCTGCTTGCCTGAACTATCTCTACACCCAAAACTGAAGGATAATAAAAACCTGTTTTACGTCAACAGCTTTCGAGTTGATCTGAAATAGGAACACAATTTTTAAAAATTTGCCTGCAAATGCAATCACATAACCAATGCCCAATAGCTGTCCTAATTTTTCGTGCAAAAAAAATAAAAATAAATTATTGCTTCAACCTTGAACAAACTGGGCTGGCCATCTCAGTCTTCTCTCCTTCTCTTGCTAAATCATATGATAAGTCGCTTTAAATAGGGGAACGTACGGAAGACGGGGTTGATTTTTTCAGTTGGGTTAAAACAGCATCTTCCTCCTTATCCTCAAAATGTTCTTAAGAATTAAGGGGCCAAAACATGAGAAAGAAATCCTAATGAGCAGCCACCAGTCCCAGGGATGTAACTAATTTTGACTCCTCCATATTAAAATAGATTTGTTAAAACTTCTGGAGGAATTTAATTAAAGATCAAATGAGCTCCCATTTATCTGGAGGAAAACAAAAAAAAGAAAAACAGGTAGGAAAGACTTACCTGCCAAACTGAACTTGCACTGAAAGGTAAAACTATGAATAAAACATACTAAACCTTCACTGAACGTATTGGTTTTTGTACGACTTTTGACACCCAGTGAAATTTCAGTTGCTTTAAATCAGTACAAACCACATCAAAGTTTCATGCTCCTTAAAATTTTTTGTGTTGGGACCTGGAAACATGTCAAAGCTGGAACTTTCTCTCCCGCTCCAGATAGATACTGGAATTTACTAGAAAACAACATGATTGATGATGCAGTCTTAAGGTTACATTGTTCATTACCCTTTGGATATAATAAACTGAATTTTTACCTTATGATAGTATTCAGAAGGACAGGTAATAACAGTAGGACAAAAAGAGGTGACCCCTTGAGATAGCAACCCTTTGGCCACAGTTTCCAGAGCCTTCTCCGGGTCACTGTCAGTGGAGAAGTCACAGCCAAAACCTCCTGTAAAAATAAATGTAATGTCTTAGTCTTACACCTCAACAACACAATTTAGCTCATTTACAAAGTAGGACGCTTTAACCTTGCCTGTCAAAGCCAACCAGGGCTGAGTGGGAGACAGCACCCAGTAAACAGAAGGAGATACATAGTATTCCTTAAAAAAACTTTCCAACATGGAGAATTAAACTGATGTCTTGAATGTGCTACTGTAGAGAGCCTAACAGTAACACCACAGATATCACTAAAGCTTTTTGCGGCAGGGGAACGACGTACAAGAATCCAAATTAAAATGGGATTCCACAACTGGGATTTCGTTTGCTTCCAGTGCTGTTTAAAAATTGTCCAACTTATTTTATCATTTTTTTTGGTAAGTGTTTTACGGCACTCGCAACTGCATAAAGTCATACGAGCCCGCGGGACACACCTAAGATTTTCGGTGGGTAGGAAATTTTGAATTTTGCCCGGGTGGCAGCCAAAGCCTACTCTAATCGATTTTAGACACCAAGGGATCTTTAATGTGCGCAACTTGCACACGGGCCCTCCGAGACTTTTTGCCCTTGTCGGAGAAGGCTAGGTGTAGATCTTTCCTACCAAAATATAAGGGGTGTGGCTGAAAGAAAGCAGTAAGAAGGAGCCATGGAGTAGTGGTGGAAAGGCTGCAGAAAGAGTCAAGAGCCCAGAGGAAGGGGCAAAGGAAATGAGGGGGACGGGGCAGAAAGAGGAGAAGAAAGTAGATGACAGAACATTGCCAGAGAGCAGGAAAGGACGTGAAAGGAGACAATTTTAGAGACGGAAATTTTTCGGTCACTACCCAGATTCGAACCCGGGACCTATGAATGAGAGGCCAACTCCTTAACCTCTAGGCCACGAGAGCCCCCTTCCAACTTATTATACAAAACTGAATTCAATCTAGGGGTATACCCTGAAGTCCTTAACCGTTCAGCCATTTCACTCTTTTTAATATTTTTTTGGGAAGTCGTCCGGTAATATATGGATATTTTTGTTGTTTTCCTTGATAGACAAAAATCCCAGCATCGGATCACAAATACAGTCAAACCTGTGTAAGACGGCCACCCATTGTCAAGGAGAAAAGTGGCCGTATAAGACAGATGGCCGTCTTAAACAGGACTAATCAAGATGAAGAAAACAAACCATTCCCATCTGAGGTCCCAATCGAAAGTGGCCGCATTGTTGTTGTTTTTGTTGTTGTTGTTGTTGTTGGTTTGTATTTTGTTAGTAATTTTTATTTTGTTGCTGATTTTGCGCAAGGGTGATAGTAAAACGAACTGTGTCAGACAAGGAGGACTGAGTGCTATGGTAAAACATACACACCACTTGGAGAACGAGCGACGCTTCTGTCACAAGTTCATGTTGACGTCCTTTGTTACTTTGTTACAGACTAGGTAAACAGTGACCACTCATCTCACTTACGATTTGTATATGAGTTCTGGGCGGGGCTTATGGGTTATGAGGGATCACATGATTACCTCACCAGCAGCTGAAAATTGGTACCTATTGGTCAACAGTGGGAGGGGCCTACGCAACATGATCGGTTGGAGGGAGACTACCTAACAACAACGAAAGGTGATTGAATTATGACGGCTCGCCCACCACACCAGGGGCCAAAGCACAATTTATGACAAAACGTCATGGAGTCACTAAGGTGGCCGTCTAAGACAGGTGTTATTGCTTAGTGTGATAGGGGTTGTGTGTTAAAATATGGTGGCCGCGGCCGCGTTGGACAGGTGCCCGTTTTACACAATTAAATTATATAGAAAAAACGCAAGGGGGGAAATGGAAAGTGGCCGTTTGTACAGGTG